TCTGCTTTGGCCGGATCCCACCGAACGAGCCTCCGCAGACAGCCGGTGCCGCTCCGCTCCGCAGACCGCCGAGGAGACCTGGGCAGTTTGCCCATCGCTCCTGCCGTCGAAGCAGCAGAAAGAACTGAAGGACCTGGCGGTGGAGACCTTGACGCTCGGACCGGTGACGGTCGGTTCAGCGTCGCTACGGGCTTCGACTCCAAGTGCCCCACGCGTCGCAAGGGCAGAGAATCGACACGACAGGGCGGACGGCGGATGGCCGACGGCCAGGCATTTTCTTGGAAGATCCAGGGTTGCCGGTCTATGGGTGTAGAGTGGTCTCTTCCGTTTTGGTTGCAAGGTGTGCCATCCGAAGTCCGAAACCTCTTAGTGGTCACATGTTTGATCATCTATGAATGATCCTTGCCTCCCACTCAGCGCAAGCAGTCCAGTTGATGCATAGAGTTCCCCTCCATGTTCGCCACATGGACAACGGGTCGTTCGCCAGTCGTTCCAGGAAGCCTGCCCAAACGGTTAAAAGATGTTAAAAGGGTCGTTTCACCCTCCGCCTGGGTGGAACTCACAGGTCCTAGTTGAATCCCGGACTTCTCAACAAACCCACATTCAGAGGTACCCAGTGTCCTGCCGAAAGGCCGCAGTTTGTTTTAGCGAAAGATGGAGATGATTGACGACGACTTCATCTGACTTTGCCGGTTCGTTTCATGTCACCCCGGACCCCCTTTTTTTCCGTCCACGAGGAAATGCTTGGGCTTCACCGAAGGCGTCTTCCATGTGGAGTGCAAGTACACCAGTCATGGCCCCCAGCTCATAGACACTTGGCAATCTCAGGGAGTGAAAACGCACATCAGGGAGGAATGGAACGGTATGACAGTATGAGATAGTACGAGAGTCAACCAAATCTTTTGCACAACATGCACAACTTGCACATCTTCAACTGACTGCCACCTGGTCACATGTGTGTTCAGATGTGACCAGGAATCCGTTGCACCTATCGATTCGGCGGTCAAGTGGTCCTTAGGTTAAGAAGGCCCCCCGATCCAAGAAGGGGTTACTAGGTTACCATCCACCTTAATAGTGATGGCCTCCACCCTAAGTAACTTCTGGTTAGTAGTAATGCCAAGAGCACCCCGTTCGTCGCGTCCGAACGCTCCGTTCGATGCGCCCTCGCTCGTCCAAGGAGGTGAACGCGCGGATGGGCGGTGGACAGGTCCATGAGACCAACGAGCGCGTCTGGGGCGTCGACCTGGTGGAGGAGCGAGAAGGTGGTTGACCGGGCGGAAGGTGGAAGGAAGCGAAGGACATGGACGTGAAGTTAGGGTTTCTTTGTGTTTTTTTTTCCGGTTTGGTGGCAGATGGTGGCACTGGGAAGCTGTTGGATCAACTTGGTCTGCGAACCTTGGGCCAACTGACTCCAAGGAAGGCTGGGCAGCGAAGACCGCAGGTTTTGGCACCGTTTTGGCGCCCACCAGGAGACCCTCTTCGCTGCGGCAGGGATTCCCTGTCGGCCCTTCATCGCCACAAAGGATCCGCCTGGAGGTGGCGTGGCCTACTGCCCGGGGTGCCCAGATGGAAGGGCCGGAACGGTGCGGAGCGGTGCGGAGCGGAGCGGGAGCCATGGGGGTCGGGACATCGCAGGGATACGGGAAAGCGAAGAAGCAGGTTGGAGGCCAGTCCTGTTCGGTTGGAGGGCATCAGGTTGGAGGCCATTTCTATTAATAGGCTAGAGATTCGACGATTTGAGAGAGAGAGAGAGAGAGAGAGAGTTGGACATGTCGACATCACGTACACCGCCCATGCAGGTGACATCAATGCGGAAGTGAGTGGAACGCTTCAGAACTTGGACTTCTTGGTGTCCCTTGGTGGAGTGCTTGGGTATTGACATGTATTGACAGTTATTTTTTTGGGGGAAGGTTAAAGCATGGAAAGACATCTTGGCAAGATATCTCCAAAACGCCATGTCAGTCACTGGAGAAAGCCATGTCAGTCAACATCTTCAAACATGCCCCAAATCAAAAGACCATCGCAACTGCATGAAAGACTCCCCTGAAAGACCATCACTGGGCTGTTTTGGCCTGTGTCAAATTGCAGCTCGTGGTCTCTATCTATGGCATGGGCTTAAGACCAAAAGGGAAGCTGGTGGAGGAGGCAGAGCAGTTAGTTATGATAAGTCATTGGCACATGCAAGACACGATCATTCTCATGATGACACATGTATTTGCAAGCAGTCTTTTTCAGCCTTGCTCTTTGTCATAGTGCAATTAACAGCGATTCTTTAAGAGACAACCTTATTGATACTTACAGTACACGGAGCAGCTTGGGCGAACAACAAAGGCTTCGAACGTCGCCTCATTGTGAGCTTGACCCTGAGGTCCTTGCAGCAACAGGCAGGCGAAGGGTGGTATGAATGGTTTAGGTGGTAGACATTGACATAGACTATGCCAGGTATGTATCAACCTAGTGAGACCAAGATGACGGAAATACCTGAAGATCAAGGGATGTTCGAGTTCTCAGATACCCTCCAAACCGAGCCCGTTTCCGTTGACCGACCCCGTTTCTTCGGTCCAACGCCTTCGGTCCAACGCCTTAAGTCCGCCCCTTGGTCCTTCGCTCCAAGCGAGGAGGGCATCGTTTGGGCCAAGCCCTACGTGAAAGCCGGCACCAAAGTGGTGGGACCTCAGGAACGGTCCCGCGGGGTGAAAAACCGGTGGTGTCACGGGGGTGTGGAGCCAGGGGGGTGTGGAGCCCAGAACAGAGAGAAGCCATGAGAAGCCAATTGCGTTCTTTATTTGTTTTTCTTTAATAAAGAAATGCATCCAGACAAATCCATGAAAGATTCTATACTAGCTGTTCTTCAACACGTCCGTCTTCTTTTTTCTCTTCAATTCTTCAGAGTCTGGACCCTTGCAGGATGGCTTACCAACCTGGATCGCGGAGATCGTTGTGCAGCGGAGAAGCGCCAAAGAAGCTCTCGCCACCGGGTGGCCATTTCGCGAGGGGGGGCGACGGAAGGGTCTTGTGATGAGCGCGGAAGCTCATTAATACTAAGATCGATGGCCTCCAACCTACTAGGGATGGCCTCCAACCTACTAGCGATGGCCTCCAACCTACTAGCAATGGCCTCCCACCTACTAGCGATGGCCTCCAACCTACTAGCGATGGCTTCGACCAGGAAATTGTGTCTCGGATGCTGAGCCTTGTGCCTGGACATATAGGGTTTGTCCTGTGTGCCAACCACGAAGACCAACCGCTCAAGCATCCAGAAAAAGCGGTAGCCCTTAACGCATGCAGAAAGCGGTCCGCACGAATCACCAACGACGAATTACCAACAAACATCTCACCCTTCTGCCATGGTCGGTTCGAGTGACACAAACATCTCACATGTCGCCAGTCACCCTGATTTATTGGTTGCGTGAGAACATCAGGGGGGCACAATGGGGCTTCAGGGGCCCCACTGCTGGACTCTCCAAGAGGAAATCGAAAGAAGCAGATGGTGGACCATGAACCCTCACATGAGCATTTTGGCAAAGAAAACGAAACATGGAATCTGAAGGTACCATCCCAACTCAGATCCTTCTGGGCTTTCCAAGGCCTACCTGCACAAGATCCAAGCAGAGATCAAGCCTGAGATCCATTGAGGTGGGCCGCGCTCAGGAAGTCTATTGGCTATTTGCTTTTTTTTTTTTTCTTCAAGGAAGCATTCGTCATGAAACACGTGCCGCATTCGTGAGTGGACTGTTTTGGACCGTCTAACACCGAACAAGAAGAAGGGCGCGTTCGTGAAGCTCGTGAAAGACGTTGCCCGAATCGGTGTTCGGTGTAATTGAAGACATTTGTTTCACATTTCTTTGCGTTCTTTTTCTTCTGGTTTGATGCTCTTGTCGTTAGAAGTTGGCCTGCATTCATGCTAAGATCGGGCTGTGATGACGACTGTATCCCTTTCAGCTCTTTGCTACCAAGATGAATGCCCACTCACCCTTGAAGTGGTAGCTTTTCGAAAACGAGGCCATCGACATCCAGTGCGAGGCGATCCAAGAATCTGAGTTGCTAATCTTCCCCGGGCAGCGTGGGAAGGCCCTGCCCTCCGACTGGAATACATGATGATGGAGACTGAAGCAAGGTTCTTGCAAGCCCCAAAGGTCCAAGATCTACCTGGGTATACTCTGCTTGGGTTTCGACAGCATGTTGAGGAAATGCACATGGTGATGCATGGTGATGCATTGGAGGCCAGTGACACTGAAGGGGCTATGGCCACCACGATGCTCATAAATGAGGTGACTTTAAGGGGACTGCAGGGTATGACATTTCAACTTGGTATCTTATGTTATCCGTAAAGGAAACACGTGGAGTCATCAGAGTTCACTCCAACCTCCCAAATTGCTGGAGTAGCTATGACGGCTATGACTTCCTGCTGCCCTTTTTTTTGCTTCCTTGGCCTCGGACCCGAGGGGGACCTCGAGTGCCGTCTCACCCATCACGTCGGCGAAGTAGCACATGAAGCGAAGGAAAAAGGAATCGAATAGCGATGGCCTCCCCCCCAAGAGCGATGGCCTCCAATCTAGAAGGGACGGCCTGAGGATTTCCAATTGAAATGGGGGGTTATGAATCAAGAGTCTACATTAAGAGTACAGGCGAACGGATGGTGTTCACATCTGCTCACATCTCACCGTTCTGAGCGCTCGGCGCCTTGATCACGAGCTCTCTCTCTCTCTCTCTGTCTCTTAGTTCCGCAACTAGTAAGTAAAACTAGGCAGTGAAAGCAAAGCAGGAGAAATGAACTACTAATTTGATATATATCATTTCATCCATTGGCCGTGTAAGTTCCTGTTTGTTTTGTCCTTCGTCCAGTCAAGTCCTTCGACAGAACGAGAAGTCTTCTACACCGGAACTCTGAACATCTTGCACCGAACACCCATCGAGACACCCGCAGCATTTGGCCACACCACCCACGTCCGAACACAGATCAACGACCTCCGAACGCGAATTCGCACGCAGAGTCCAAGGTCCACGAGTGCAGGTACACCAAGCAGTATAGCGATCTCGGGCAGCAGCATCTCGAGCTGCTTGGCCTAACGATGTTGGAACTCACAGAGAGGCTGAGAGGCTGAGAGGAGTCTGTGCTTGCTTGAAGAGTCAGATGGACTCTTCCTGACGAAGCAGTGAGTGCCACAAGATCACATGTGCTCCGCAAGCGCTCATGAATGTGTTCTTGTTTTGCCATCCACTCATCTCAGCAGCACCAAACCATCAGATTGGAAACAACAAACGAAGCAAGAGGTCAAACACTTGCTCGTCACTGCTGTGGAGCTTTCTCCGCAAACGGTGCACACCAGTCACCCAACATGACGAGATCTCTCTATTGCGCTTGGCACGAGATCTTGAGGCCAGAGCAATGTCCGCTGGGGGCAAAACAGCTGTTTGCCACCTGGCCATTGGCTTCGAGAACATGAAAGGCCCAAGAGCACGTGGTCTTCCCTAACGGCCGTCGGGGCTGTGTGCTGTGTAAAGGTAGGGTACGAGCACGCGTGCGCCGTACGCAGGCCCTTTTTACAAAGGGTTTTCTGCGTGTTTCAACAGAGACTTCTTTGACTAACAGGACCAGACCCCCCCTAGAGCTTTTTACTGGGGACGATACAAAAGGGATCTTTGGGTGTTTTTGTTTGTGTTTGCAGAGACGGTCTTTTGGGATGGATTTGCAACCTTCAGATCGAAAGGCACTCATGAGTCGTATCGCAGCAACATCCGTTCTTCAACGCCCATTTTCAAGAGCCGGAAGAGAGACATTGTGATTGTTTGGACATCAACGGCACTCAGGGTGTTTGTTTCCTGAGTTTTCTTTCGTGCGCATTGGGAGCTGCTTCTGTGGGTGGAAGATCTGACTTTGGCTGGTGGTCCGATTCCGGATGCATTGGTCGTTCACATTCGTTCACCGGATGCCAGGTTTGCTTTTAGTCTCGAAGATTTGGACTTGCTGGCTGTCTACTTGGAGCTCTCAAAGGTGGCTGTGATGGGATCGATCTGCGTGGGGCGGATCTGGTGTGTTAGGGGGGAAAGGAGTTCTGCTAAGAAATTATACATGTGCTCTTCAGAGAGGAGAGGAGGAATCAAGCAGTGAGATATCATCTATTCTTTTGTGACCAAGAATAGCAGCGACAACTTTGGTTCCAAGCAGTGATGCTTTGAGGGACCGAAAAGGCACCAAAGTTGTCCGACTCTAGGCTCAAGAGGTCGCTTTATGGCGAACTTCTCAAGGATGTTGGTGAGGGGTGGGGTGGTACAGTGGGGTGGTAGGAGAATCGAGGACACAGAGCCACTGGAACGCACCCACCCTTTTTCTCAGTTTCAGGATCCTCCAGGGCGGGAACCCAAGAACATCCAAGAACAAAGTTCCTTCTGAACCAATGCTTTTGCACGGTGAAAGAAGTGAACGCCACACTCCCTTTAAGAGGACCTTCCTCCAGTCGTCATCTTGGATTTCTTCCAGTCATCTTTCACAAAGCGAGCCGCCTGGGCCCATCGTTCGACACATGACACCAGCCACACCTGGCTGGGCGGTGTGTGTTGAAAACACCGGTGGGTTCCCTTCGCCGATTTCCCCGTCCACTCGGCCGGGGAAGCACAAGCTAGCGATGGCCTTCAAGCTAATAGCTTCTAGCTATACGAATAGCTTCTTGATACTAAGTCTTAGAGTCTTAGTAATGGCCTCCAACCTAATAATTAGCTCAGGTTCCCAGTAGCTTCGCCAGCGCCAAGAGTGCCAAGTTGCTGCTCTCGATGCTCCGTGCCCTGGGCGTGTGATCGATGGGCGAAACCGGGCGTGTCGGTGAAGACATGGGGACCTCATGAAAACAGGCGTTCTGAACCCCTGGAAGGTTTGGGAAATAGACCAGTCAGAGAAGCCTAGCTTGCAGCCAATTGGGGGGCTGCAACAGACAGAGATTGAGAGCTGAGACACAGCAGCCCGTGGCTCTGCGGGATGTCCATCTAAGGATTCTTGAGATCATTGGACATCCCTGTCCAGGCGGCCGCGTCGGGCGTGTTGGGCCGTTTTGGGGGTTCTTCCTTAATATGAGCCATGGTCTCGGAGAGAGAAGCATGAGCCATGTCGATCAATCAATATCAGCATCTATCAGCGGATTGCCGACGCTTCCGAAATCCACCCAAGCCATTCCGGTCCGACGACCAGTGCCTCTCTGCAGGACATTTGCTGCTTGCTGGCTCATGCGAGCATCTACTTCAAGGATATCTATGCAGCCAGGAGCCTCAGAAACCGGTCCCAGTCACGCGGATCCGAGGGAATCATGGTGACTTGGTGACATGTCGAGTAGCGACGTATAAGGTGTGAACGGTGTATCCCAGTACCGCCCTATGTTGGCAAAAGGGCTATCACTATATATTTTGAAGGAAGGGGCTTTACTAAGCAAACAAGAATCCACTGTTAATTACACTGGTAATGGGATGTATCCCCAATCTATGATGCATCCAGTTCTTGATGCTGCTCGAGGCATTGCTCCCGGCTGCACACGCCGTCTTCACATTCTTTTACATCACCCACGAGAAGAGAAAGACATGAAGAGAACTGAGACAGAACTGAGACACTTGTAACAAGAAGCTAGTAGAAACAATAAGCTACTAGGAACAAGTGCAT